AATAGCTATGAATAAATTATTTTTTTAGATCGACTTTTTAGCGAAATTTTAAATAAAAGTTTTGTAAAATCTTTACTTGAAAAGTTGTAAGTTATAGTTCCAAAAAAACTAAAAAACTACGGACAATATAAATTTTGATAAAACCAACACTTTTTAAATTAAAGTTTTTTTTCCGTTTTATTAACTAGTAATAAAATATTATAAGGGTGTTGGCAATAAATTAAAAAAAAAAAATCAGTTTTATTTGAGATGTTGCTGGTTCTGTCATTTATTCAAGTGCAATTTAAATTTTACGAAGTAAATTTCTGCAATGCATTGAATTATGTGTGTAATAATACGAATAATAACAAATTATATAAATGCTTTTACATTTATATATAAGCTACTCATTTATAATCTCTAAACTGGCACAGATGCGTACTCATCTTCAAGACTGTCACGCCATATTACTTTCCTGTCACAGGTAATTCACTGGTTGTCAGGACTTGCTTGACAGGTGTGAAATTAATAATAAAACGAAATTAGTAATTTCCCAGAAAGTATGTGATTCGTTCCCCAAGTCCAACAAAGGATCAATCTTAATTCAACCGTTGAGGAAGAGAATTTTAGATTATATTCTAGATTGATTTGGTTAAGATTATTGAAATAATATAAATTGATGGAATGAAAATAGAAATAGGAATCCAAATATATAGAGAAAAAGTGAAGACAACTCTTTACAAATCTAAATAGTATATACTTGTATATAGGTATGACTGATTTTATGTTTTTTTAATTTAATTATTTTTATGTTATTTTATTTGTTTTTTATAGTGCATTGTTATTGATTACTATTTTACTTTTGTTAATTTTATATTTTCTGTGTATATGGTGTGAATGTGTTCATATATCACTATAATTATTGTCAACGTGACAGATTATTATATTTCTAAATAAATAAATTTAAAGAAAAATAAATAAATTAATAAAATAGTAACACTTAACACTGACCAACATGGATAGTAAAATGTAATTAATTTTTATTTTTATTTTAAATATCAATAATTACTGCTTTTCATTAAATTGTTAACATCCGAATATAATTCGTGAATGGCTTTTACTCACCCTAACATACATCTTTTTTATTTACAATATTTCTAGGAATTGGAGCGTTATCAATTTTTAGGTCGGCAAAGTTTGTCTACTTAATTAAGTACTAAAAACTCGTAAATATCCATTTGCTTTCCACTTGGATTGTAAAGTAATTTTTATTTTTGTTTCTTATTATGTATGAAATTTGCAACTGTACAAATTAATGTACAAAGAAATATATGAGATGACAAGGCTAGTAGAGAATCTACCCATTGGTAGCACTCTAATAAAATATCTAAATGAGGAGATCACGAGGCCATCTTTTTTTCAGTTGCCTAGGAGGGTTCTCAGGATCGAGGAGGAAGCAAGGTTAGAAACGAGAGGATTAGGATGGTTCTGAAGTTTATTATGGAAGGATAGGTATCTGGATTGGGCCAAATCGGAAACATATAGAACATTCAGGTCATTATGGATTATTTTATTTGTTACAAAGTAAGGAGCTTACAAAGCAAGAATTTTGGATTGTAAAGATTGGAAACTATAGGAATTCGATGGTTTAGTGGAGCCCCAAAGCTCTACTCCATAAGTCCAAATAGGCCTTATTATAGTCATGTATATGATTCTTTTGTAATTAATTGAAAGGTTAGAGCGTTTGTTTAGTAAGTGCTAAAGTAGTCGGAAACGTCGAGCGGTTTCTTGTCTTTTCAGTCTGGTATGAGGACTTCAAGTTAGACGTTTGTCCAGGTGGAGTCCTAAGATGTAAGATAATTTGATCACAAAATCGATAAAATAAGGTGGCCTACCAAAAATATCAGGCCGTTTGATATATATATATATAACCCAGTTATTTTTACAATTTGAGAGTGTAGGTATTACCAAACGGCTCAACATTTTCGAAGGCCACTTTTTTTCTCGACCTTGTGCTCCAACTTATCTTACGATTCAAGTAGAAAGTAAGGGCGTTTTCTTTTTGGAAATTGGCATACTTTGTCTATTTAATTAAGAAATAGAAATATATGAAAACCTATTTCATTTCCACTCGAATTACAAGATAATTTGATCATAAAATCGAGAAAAAAGTTAATCTACGAAAATATTTGGCTGTTCGACGTGATCTCCACCCCCAACATCTTTTAGACGCCAAATATCTGATTTGGATGACAATTTGTTTTTTTCTATTTTGTGATCAAATTATTTTATGATTCAAGTGAAATGAAAATAGGTATTTATGAGTTGTTGGTACCTTTTTGAATTAATTAATTTAAGGATAAAACGCCCAATTTCTCAGAATTCTTCATAAAGTTTTCGTTTTCCACGAGCATTAATCCAATTTTGATTTTTTTTTTTAAATAATAATAATACTAATTGTTCCGTAACAATGCCTGATCACTTATTATTGATTCACACCCACACACCGTTCACTAACGGCTCAGTAATTACGGTGATCGGAATGTTAAGGTTGCGAAGAGAGAAAGAACTCGAAGGACGTTTGGACAAGAACGCAACAACTGAAAATTTATTATCGTTTGGAACTCAACAAACGATGTGCATGTGTACAATGTATGTACTTATTTCTTTACTGAGCAGGACGGCTTTCGTAACAAATAGCGTTGTTTCTTTAACATTCCTTGTTTGATTCAATTAAAAAAACAAAACAATCAGAGGTGATTGTTGAGTTTCAAAACAATCATGTACATGATAAGTCTGCGGTACAGACACTAACACGACTTAGTGTAGTTAGGCCGTTCAAGATTCCTCTTTAAATGGTTTTGACAAAGACAAACTCTACTTGTATTTGAAGGAAATATTGTTCAGTTTATTATTAAGCAATTTTTGAATTGAAAACTTCTTTAGGTGCGTTTTGCAATTTTTTTATGGAGATTGAATTAGATTGAGCCGTCAGATTTCCGATGTGATAACGTGTTTTTTGCATTTGGATTAAAATATCTCAGAAATTAAAAATCGGAACTGCATATTGTACGATAGAGAAATGTTCATCATTTCACAATGATACAAAAATTGTATCTTAATGCGACACCATGTAAGGGAGGAGAAAAGGGAAAACATAGTTTCGAAAACCAAATGATAACGAGTTTTATTGATGATATGTATTAAAATATCTCAGAAATTAAAAATCGGAAGTGTATACTGTAAGCGAGGGAAATGTTCAGCATTTTATGCTCTCTGTAATAGGCTATACTTGAAATTTTTATCTTAATGCGACGCTATGTTAGAGAGATGAAAAGGAAAAATATTGCCGAAAACCAAAAGATGGGGAGCTTGCGATATTGGTCGAGAATATTATCCTGAACACTCTGGAAATCATTCACCATCACTTGTATAGTAATTTGCCATGAATTGAGGATGACTTTTATCAGTTATTTATTCATTCTATTTTAAATTTTTAGCATTTTCTTGTCTTTTTGTCTATAGTTGTGGATATATGTGTGTAAGATTTAGTGTTGGATTCTTAACATACGATTTTTTTTTTTTAAATATCTATGTTATGGCAACAGATGGCTATGATTGAAATGTTATGCAATGTAGATGGCTCAGTGTAGTTATTAATTTATATTTTATAAGACTATTATTATAACGAAGGAGGAAAAGGAGGATATATATATATATATGTAGTAATAGAATAATGTAATGTATAAATTATCTCCAAATGGATTGATCGGTATTCTGTGTGTAAAGCAACCCTATGTATGACAGCACTACTTTCAATAAAATCAATAAAATTTCTCTCTCTCTATGGATTAAAATACCTCAGAAACTACGGGCGGATCTACGGGGGGGGGCTTTCGGGCTGAAGCCCCCCCCAAAATGTTAAAACATTACCACGTTTTATGGAAAAAAAAAAATTAAAAAATACCTCTTAAAGTATTATTGTTGGTGTAATTACATTTAAAAGGACTTAAGGAATCACTTAAACACCATTTCATATAGGTAGTTACTTTCTTTCTGTTTTTCCAAAGTAAATATCGTTATTTTTATGAAAAAAAAGTTTCCGGGCTGAAGCCCTCCCCAAAATTAAATCCTGGATCCGCTAGTGTCAGAAACTATAAATCGGACCTGCATACCGTAAGCGAGGGAAATGTTCAGCATTTCATCCTCTTTATAATGAGCTAGTATTTATAATTTATATTTCATATTGTTAATCTCGCTTTGTTGATGTTTTCACTTCTATCGTGTGGTCTAAAGCAGAAACCTTAGTTTTCTTTACATTACTTGAATTAACTAATTTTTGTGTTATCGCTTGCTATGAAAGAGAAAACCATCTTCAGAAAAGGCGAATTGGATTTAACTCCTTTTCTGTTCTAAATGGATCAATACATTTTTTCTTTTTTTTTTTTTTTTCTTCTTAACCTCAATAATATAATACAAATGAACAATTTAGTTTTTTGTGTTGAACGCCTTTTACTCTAACTATGTTACATTTTAAGGCCTTATTGAAATTGTCTTTATGTTTTGTTGTAACAATAATTATTAAATGTATCAGTAAAGGTGATGGGGCTCACCCATTTTTGTGTTTATAAGTGTCTTATTACTACTTAATAACTAACTTGCTACCTAACCTAACTTATTATTTAAGATTAAAGGAAGACTGAACTTTGCCACCGAACTGGAGTCGGTGCTGGAGTTAATGTATTGGAAGGAGGATTTGGAAGTGCTTTCAAAGAGTCCATGGATTTTACATGTGTCGTTTTAGAATGAACTGTTCAATCGTGGCAAGTTCAAAGATTCCGTGCAGCTGATCAACCTTTAATTTTTTTAATGAAGTGGACCGAGAATCACATATTTTTTTTTTTTTTTTTTTTGTGAATTACCTCCTAGAGTTTGGCCATTAAGAACAAATTCACGCTGTATAGAATATCGAGAAGTAAACAACACATGATATTACAGTACGAACGTTCAGGAATTCTCGTTCAAAAATCGATCTTTTCGCATAGTTTCCACGAGGTTACCGTTTCCACAACGGCCTCAACCGCAATGACTCTCCTCTCATGATGGAAGAATCCATTTTCCATCTCCTTGACCTTTTGCTTTCTCAGGAGTCGAAGACAGGCAACCGTCGTGGAATCCGAAGCTATCCCTTCCTCCGAGTCGTGTTCTGAACATATATTAATATTAATATCGCATGCTAAAGAGTTCTTCTTGGTCGAGGAGGAATGCTGCTTTAGGAGTCACATGTTCAGGCTCGTTTTTGGAACGAGGAAGACTCTTGTAGTATGTTATACAAGGTTATAAACGAAATCTGTGTTGTTTTTTTTACTCGACTAAACACAAGCAAGGACTTTTACAATATCAATATTTCTTCTCACTGATTTATTTGACGTCAAAGACTATGATAAGTTGCAATATTTTAATTATTAAATCCTAAACACGTGATAAGTATTCCATGGCAACAACATCATCTAATTGGCTTTCGTCAAGAATTAGGATTAAAATCGAAAACTAAATTTTAGGTTTAAAAATGCAGGACTTGGTACAGTTCCAAAGAAATTATATATATGGTCCGCGTCGAGATCTTTCAAGGACGTTTATTTGGGATTCCTCACTTCTCTATGAAATTGACTTTCGTTTGATACCTAATTCAACTAAAAAAATAGCTTCTGAGAACAAGAAAATGGATCTATACCAGTAAATTACTTATATTGTAGACATGTTATTTATTTTTCTTAAAAAGGATAATTAACGTTTCTATCGGTAAAAAATAATTGCGTTAAAATAAATAAGGGGATTCGCGCAATCAGTGACAAATATTGTAAACCTCTAAAATGTGTTAAATTCGAGAAACTTATTTAAGAAATGTATGTTAAATGTGGCCGCTAGCCCACTCGATTTTAATCTAGTTTACGGTCCTGTAAAGTGATTTCTATAAATTTATGTAAATTTAACAAATATTAACTAAACATATGTTTTTAAACCATCATAATTAAATAATGTTGTACTCAATGAGTTGAATAAAACATTACGTTGAGGGTATTATTTATTTATTACAGTGATTCTCTTCTTAAATACACGGAAAAGGTTGTAATGAAGTTATTATGTCGTGTTTAGTTCTTTTTACGATATCATTATACCAATATAAGTCTGTACAATACTACAAACAATTGGACAGAAATATGGTGCTGTCTTAGTGAAAATACAAGATGGTATTAAATTTCAGTTAATATAAAATTAAATTGGTGTTTATCAATCCTTACTAGTATTGCCTAAAATCATTCATGGTCTTGCACTTTTCAAGACCAAGACCTACACCGCTTTAACTGTTGCAAGACCAAGACTAAGAATGATAACAAAAATCGATTTTTGTATACAAATTAATGCAAAATACTAATACTTGGTAACTTTAGTTACTATATGTAAATAATTGGTATAATAAACATACTTTTGCATTTAAATCTTCTAATTTTTCATTCGGGCTTAGTTAGGTGTCTCCTAGCTAAAAAATTACAGTAATATCTCTAAATTAATAAGCTAATAGGTAACTGCAAGACTGTTGCGAGACTCTTGCGCAAAACCAAGACCAAGACTCGTCTTGGTCTCGCATTCGGGCAACACTAATCCTTACCATCTGTCTGAATCATCCATTTGGGATTGCACTTTTATTAACAGGAAGAACATTTATACTATATCTCATTGGCTTGACAGATAGGATTGCATTTATGTGTTCATAAAGGTATTTGCCTTCTGAATTAAAAGTTTTTTTATACAACGAAGCAGCAACGCATTTTTATTTTGTCTTGGCTTTTTTAAAAATAAATCAAAATTTTATTAAATCAATGAAGTCAAAGAACTCACAAACTTTCTTCACAATACAATCATAACCTTACTATAACCAAAACACTTTAGCAGGTTAGCACACGAGGGTCATTTATCATTAATTTAAATTGCCTGCTTATCATAATGATATATTAAGCATTTAGCACTAACTGAATCCCTATAAAGCCAATGGGATTGATAGTCGAATGTTTGAAAACATTTTTTCCTCGTCATCCTATATTCACTTTCACTTGCTTTGGAAATACCTGATTAACCTTAAAGTAAGTTAAACTTATAGCCATTGTATTAAATCAACGATTCGTAGCGGAGAATAAATCGAAAAGATAAGTTAACTTACGTAAAGAACCTGCTGCTATAAAGATTAAAGAGCTCTTTTGAAAAGACTAATTGATATTCCGAAGGCAGTTCCTGGATGAGACGACAATGGGAGGATACCAGAACCGGTATATCTTCCAGGGGAAAGTGGTTAAGTTTCACTGCCTGGACCAACTGAGATACTATACTTATCGAATCATCTAATTCTGTAATCAGAGAAAGTACTGCTTACAAGGAGGATGCTTATCAATAGTTTAAGACTTACTATCACAAGGAAGTGGGGGCTTTTAAGAGGCTTTAGCTTTCTCTAAGCGATGTGTGGTTAGCCTTAGAAATAAGATTATTCCCTCATTACAACAGATATGAAAGTCAAGGATGAAGTAAACGCGAAACCGTCATTATACTGTTTTTTTAAATAGAAAATTACTGAAATTAAATATACTTAATTTGTATGATTTAAAAGAGAAAAAAAAATGATCTAGAAGTTTCTTTAAGTACACCTATTTATATAAATTAACGTTTCATAGGATTTTAATTTTTTATTTAAAAAAATATATTAAAAAGTCCTTACTATGAGAAATTACTATGTTTTCCTTCTCTATATTTATTATTTTTTCTTGTTTTCTCAAACAATAACACCAGTTTTAAGATGAAAGATTATCTTAATCAGCTTATCACTTTTTTTTTTTTATCATGGCATTAATTTTTCTTTTATTGCAGTGCTAAATCAGCTGTTAATAATGTGAAACTGTTGATTCAAATCAATCTCTTTTTAACTTCTTGTGAATTCTTAAATGTGTAACAAGCAGTTGCAATATGTTGTGAGATGTCAGGTCTTTTGATTTTTTCAAGTTTTATATAAATGTACCAGTTAGTGTTGCCCAAAATAGGTCCTGGTCTTGCACTTTGTAAAACCAAGACCAGAACTGGTAAAAAAAATCTATTTTTAAAATAAAAATTAAGGTAAAATATGGGTGATAAATATTCAGGACGCAGTCATTATAAAGTGCCGACGTTTCAACCCAAACATGTGGGTCATCATCAGGGCGTGGTTCGAGCACTCAAGTACATGATCAGTGGAAAATATAAGAGTACTTTCAATTAAGTATTGTACTCTATAAACTAACATGTACAAATAGTTGAAGAGCTAATAAATAACTGCAAGACTATTGCGGTACTCTTGAGCCAAGACCAAGACTGAGTTTGCAAGACCAAGACTCGTCTCGGTCTCGCATTTTGGCTGATCGCCCTAACCATCCTTCTCTTCAATTATTCACTACTTTCAACCATTATATTTTTAATATTTCTGAACTTATTTTAATTTCATTTGATAATCCATCTCTGATTTTCATGAATCAACTAAGTTCAACATTTTTTTCAACTTTGTTTGATAAAATCGAACGCCTTTCTAAATCCAAATAACATAACGATTGACAGTAATACAACGATGTAAAACTCTCATCGTTTAAACCAGGCATTACGCATCTCCCTCAACTGAACCTAATCTTCAGCCATATCTAGATCATCCTAAATGCTAACCTCAGATAGGAGACTAAAATACAAAGCCAGGAAATAAAGCGATGATAACAATGGACAATGGGCCGATTTTTAATTTGTTCCGCCATAAATTAATCATATTACTGCTCTAAATTGTGTCAAATTATTATTGATATTTTTTAATTATTACCTTACTCATAAAGAATACATTTAATTATTTATTTTTAATTAGTACCGCAAACATTCTGATAAAATTTGAGAAATTTAACTTCATGAGTTCACTTTTTAATTTTTTAAATCACCACTACTAACAAAATACATGGTACTACAGCTTAAGTTATTTTAAGTGTTTTTTTTTTCAGTGGCAATAGTATATATTTGTTTACACCACAGTCATATCTCGATAAACACATTCTTGTACATCGGAAACACAATATTCTATTATATCAAATCCAGTATGGTCAAAGATTTGTCCCTACATTTCATTGATAGTGACTGCGAATCTGAAGTTTCCAACAGTTTTCATGATTGATTAACACTCGTTTAATTTTTTTCGATACCCTACCTCGCTATTTCCATGTAATAGTTGTTCTAGAGGAGCAACCAAAACTTTTCTGTGCATTTTGCTTTTTTTTTTCTGTACATGTAATGCTTTTTTTTTTCCTTTTCTTTTTTTTTTTTTTTTCCCAGTACAATTATAAGTAAATTTGAGAAGATTTTATTTTATTTTTTAATTGTTTCCATACTATTATTTAAGTTGTTGTATGTATTTTTTGAATCTTTATTAGATTAGTTTTTGGCCAGATATGTGTTTTTTCTTTTGTAACTGTTCATTATTGTTATTCTAAGGGAACATCGTCCCAGAATAATGTTTATTTTCTATTTCTATTTCTATGACTCGTAAAAGCTTAAAGATTTTTTAAAAACTGAAATAATAGAATTCAGACGTGTCCAAGTTTCCTCCCAATGTTCACGGCACATAAACCTACCTCTCCCAGGAAATTTTATTGCTCTACTATTCTTAAAAATGGAGGCCAAGCAAAAGTCGAATCATACTTAACATAACATAGCATCGATAATATTAAAAAAAAAAAAATTTCCTTTCTTCCCCCCGATCTCACCACCATACTTCACCGTTTCGGCTATATGTGTTTTTTTTCAGAGTCAGGAGAGAGAGCGGAGGATTATTGCCAGATTAAAAAAAAACCTGTAATCTTAATAATTTACTCCGCATCCTGTAAACAATGAAAGTTGGTGTCCTATCTGTTTCAAGGTTTAAAAATTCACGTGGATCAGGTTTGAAAATTCCTCTTAATTGAAACACCACAAAAACCATCTCAAAGTACAAAAATATACTCCGTAAAATGTTGTGCCCCCTCAAAAATGTTGATAGCGAAATTTGCTAAAATAGCGTGGTATTGGGTACGCCTAGTAAAAATTAGATGTGAATTCAAAACTGATCTGAAATTGTAACAAGATTAATTATTTCGAAGGATTGGCTTGATTAGAACCGCCTTTGCGAAGAGCCTATCTCAGACTGGATTACTATTTCCCTCACGCGCGCGGCCCTTACAATTAGCAGAGCAGATCTCGAACGGAAGCGTGCTACCTGCTCGGTACCCGCTAGGGATGCCGCGCCATATTGCGCAACAGATTTGCAAAGTCAACGACCGCGGATCTAGAAGGGCGAGAGGACAGCCGTAACCCCTTTTACGAAGGAATGCTTTTCCTCTCTTATAGCCTCCATCACTTTCTAAGCAGGCGAATTAAATGAACGAGGCAGAGATTTCTTGAAAGCACAACTCGCCGTAGAAGGTACCTCAGACCGCGGAGACCTTGGTGATGTGGTTCGAAGGAAACCGTAGATAGTGAAAGTAGAAGATTTAATAGTGTGGTACCGATGGCGTAAGGGAATTATTAACAATAACTGTTCCATGAGGTTGGAGTGGTTTGAGTAGAGCTGTAGAGGGGCAGTCTCTTCCGCGAAGTGAAATATATAATTTTAAATAGGCTACAGTAGACCTCAACACCTGCAACATAAAACAATTCCACAACGACCATGGTGCGATTTCACAAAGTAAAGCAGAAAAAAATAAATATGGAATATTCAATAGTTGACCGTTGCATTATAAAGGAAGAAGATGGTCCGGGGTGGCGGTCATAAATAGGCTAAATAGTGGCAAAACTATTTTATTAAAAGCCAACGTTTCGACCCGACTTCGCAGGTCTTATTCAGGGCTAGAACGGACAAGATACAAAAAGATAGAGAATTATGGAAGTTACATAATATTAAGACAAAAAATTATAAACAATGTGAATAAGCTTATTAAAATTATAAACAGTAAGTGCATTAAAATATAAACAGAGTAAGCTATATACCTGCCCTGTTCTAAGTGAAACTCCTAGCCGATGAACACATCTGTAAGTCTCGATTTTTAATCTTCTAATTTTATTTACTCATTAATTTATTTTTTTATTGTTTTTTCTTTCCTTTCTCCACATTCCTTTATGTCTATTATTTCATTTCATATCCTTTTTCCTTTTCTTTCAATCTCTCCTGTAGATCTGTAAAAGTATATTCACATTTGCATATATTATATATTACACTACAACAAATGTTACCATCTATTTAATTCAGTTTAGGTTCTTATTTCTTTGATTACTCTGTTTATATTTTAATTTACTTACTGTTAATAATTTTAAAAAGCTTATTCACATTGTTTATAATTTTTTGTCTAAATATTTTGTCTAAACTTCCACAATTCTCTATCTTTTTTTTACCTTGTCCGTTCTGGCCCTGAAGAAGAGCTGCAAAGTCGGGTCGAAACGTCGGCTTGTAATAAAATAGTTCTGTTACTATTTAGCCTGTTTATGACCGCCGCCCCAGACCTTCTTCTTCCTTTAGAAAAAAATTAAGTTAAATAAGTTTTTTTTGTTTAATATGAATCGATAAATAAATATTTAGTTCATATCTCTCACAGCTTATTTAAGTGGCTCTTCCCCATCTTCCGAAGAGAATATTTCCTAGGTGCCCTCCTCAATCAAATCATCCTTCTTACGCCTACAACCTTTTTTGCAAGTCCTCAGTCCATTTTCTTTCCACGAGATCTCGACCTTCCGACCTTTACATCCTTTCTCACAGATCTACCTCATTTCAAAACTCCTATATTGCTCCCGCTGTAATATCCACATTCAACAGTCAGATACTTGTTAACCTTTTTGCATTATACATTTATATTGTATCATTCATTATGAAATTATTGTAATATCCTTTATTCTTATACAGCTAAATTTGAACCTATAGTTGCAATAACATCATGATGTATTTACATATTATTCATTATTTAAATACTCTGACATTTTATATTGTCAGATTCTGCTTTTTTTTCGTCAGCAGAAACAAAGAGCTTATTTCAAAGAAAAACTAAATGTATTTTTTTTTTCTTAATTTATTTTCTTAAAAGTCTATATTCATAATCATCTACCAGTGTACATAGTTTTAAGTTTTTTATGCATAGGTTTATTTGTATTGTATGTAGCTTGCCTGACTAAGTTTTCTTTTTTTTTTGTTTTTATTTAGGCCAGATGTAATCTTTTAATTTTGTTATTCTCAAAGTACTTTGTTCCAGAATAAAGTTATTTTCTATCTATCTATCTATCTATATCACATAAGTAATTATGATTTTTTTTACATTAAACAAGACAAAATTCTCTGCAAAAGTCTAATTCGTCTTTGTAAAAACCATTTTAAAGAGACTTCTGAGAAGCTAAACCGATTTTTTAATTCTACTGATTATTAATATCAGTTATCTATTTTTTTTTTGCTCGATTATTTCTAAAAATATTGATAAATTTAAATCATAAAGATAATACATAAAAGTGATATGATAAGCTGTGATAATTCACAAAGATGTGATAATACACAGATGTAATATATATTTTTTTAAAAAAAACTTCTTTAGACGGGTTTTGCATTCTTTCGTGAAGAGTGAATTAGATTTAGCCGTTAAATTGTGTAACGCTCGGGTAAAGTCGGCTGGAGTCGACTAATTGACTTGTTTTTACACATGAATTAAAATAACTAAAAAAATAAAAATCGAACCTGTATACTGTAAGCAAAGAAAATATTCATCATTTCATCCTCTTTGTAATGATCTATTATACAAAATTGATCATAATGCGACACCGTGTTAGAGAGGCGAAAAGGAAAAAAAAATAGTGACGAAAACCAAACAGTAACGAGTTTTATTGAAGATATTGATTAAAATATCTCAGAAACTAAAAATCTACATACGTTAAGCGAGGGAAATGTTCAGCATTTCATCCTATTTGTAATGATCTATTATACAAAATTGCATCTTAATGCAACGCCGTGTTAGAGAGGCGTAAAGGGAAAAAATAAAGTCGAAAACCAAATGATAACGAGTTTTATTCAAGATATGGAATAAAATATCTCTGAAACTAAAAATCTACATACGATAAGCAAGGGAAATGTTCAGCATTTCATCCCATTCGTAATGATCTATTATACAAAATTGATCATAATGCGACACCGTGTTAGAGAGGCGAAAAGGAAAAAAAAATAGTGACGAAAACCAAATGATAACGAGTTTTATTCAAGATATGGAATAAAATATCTCTGAAACTAAAAATCTACATACGATAAGCAAGGGAAATGTTCAGCATTTCATCCCATTCGTAATGATCTATAATACAAAATTTCATCTTAATGCGACGCCGTGTTAGAGAGGCAAAAAGAAAAAAAATAAAGTCGAAAACCAAATGATGGCGAGTTTTATTCAAGATATGGAATAAAATATCTCTGAAACTAAAAATCTACATACGATAAGCAAGGGAAATGTTCAGCATTTGTAATGATCTATAATACAAAATTTCATCTTAATGCGACGCCGTGTTAGAGAGGCAAAAAGAAAAAAAAATTGTGCCGAAAACAAAATGATAACGATTTTTATTGAAGATGTGGATTAAAATATCCCAGAAACTAAAAATCGGACCTGCATACTGTAAACGAAGGAAATGTTCAGCATTTCATCCTCTTTATAATGAGCTATTATTTATAATTTATATTTCATATTATTAATCTCGCCTTGTTGAAGTTTTCACTTCTATCGTGTGGTCTAAAGCACACACCTTAGTTAATTTTTTGTTTTAACTTTAGAATATGATTTATGCCTGTTTAAAATATAACTTCTAAACAGAAAGTCAGTTGGAGTGAAATTAAAACACTAAGATGGCATAAGAAGTTTTGTAAAGTATTAAGCGTTATTCGTATTCCGCGGGAACTTTTCTTCCTTTTTATACTAAGGTACCATCTAAGTGGGGTTAGCTAGTCAAGTGATAACATTCTTCCTACTCCTTTATAAGTTTCTTTTTGCGAAAGGAGTGCATAACTGATAGTCTAAGGTACAAAGGCTCTTTAAGGAAAGATGATAAGATTATTTTCCTACCTTAAAATGCAAAGTTCGTGTTATTTTGCGTTAGACAACATATATAATCTTTTTACTACTGGATTGCTTTTTCTGGACGTATAGAGTCGATTGTGATCTAAAATTAGTTCAAATTCTATCTTAGATTGAGAAACAACTGTCAATTTTTTCTAATTGTTCCAAATTGTTTATTGTTTGTATTGTTTTTTTTTTTAATTCAATCCCTTAAATGCGATGGTATATATCACATATAACTAATTTCTAATATTTTTTTTAACATTCTAAATGTTGTTTCAAAGCTATGTTTCGTAAATAGCGTATAAAAGATATGAGATCTTATAGCGTCACGGTGCTTTAAACCTGGATAAAATCCGATTTTTAGTTTCTGAGATATTTTAATCCATATGCAAAAACACTTCAATCGGTTGATTCAACAAACGCGCTTATGGATTGAAATAAGTCATAAACTTAAATTCGGACCTGCATACTGTTATCAAGGGAAACGTTCAGCATTTTATTCTCTTTGTAATGGCGTATTATTCAAAATTGCATCTTAACCCGATACTGTATTAGAGAGGCGAAAGGGGAAAAAATATTGTCGAAAATTAACCAATAAAGAGTTTTATTTGAGATACGGATTAAAACATCTCAAAAAGTAAAATTCGAGCTTGCATGCTGTAAGTGAGAGAAATGGAAATGATCAGCATTTCATCCTCTTTGTAATGGCGTAGTATTCAATATTCTATCTTAACACGACAAGAGAAAGTTTTCTTAAAATGTACCTAAACTTTGAACTTTTTGGTGGGTTAAAATTATTTGGGTAGTTTTATAAATGTTCTATCTACCATCTCTAACCAACAATAATAATTATATGATTCCATATTAATGTTTATTTTTTTATCTTCTACTCTTCACCGAAATATATTTAATCCGGTTACAATCAGTAAGGTGACAATATAAAAATTATCGCATTACTTACCATAGCGCTACCTAGGACTCCACCTGGACAAACGACTAACTTGGAATCCTCATAATAGACTGAAATGACAAGAAACCGCTCGACCTTTCTGATTACTTAAGCTCTTAATATAAACTTTCACAATACAAGACAAACGCTCTAAACTTCCAATTAATTACAAAAAAACTCATATATATGACTATAATAAGGCCTATTTGGACTTATGGAGCTCCACTAAACCACTGAATTCCTCTCGTATCCAATCCTTACAATCCAAAATCCTTCGTAAAATCTTCAATGCTCCATACTTTTCACAAATAAAACCATCCATAATGACCTTAATGTTTCCTATGTTTCAGATCTGGCCCATCCAGATACCAATCCTTCCATAACAAACTTCAGAATCAACCCAACCCTCTCGTTCCTAACCTTGCTTCCTCTTCAATTCCTGATCCTCCGGGGCGTCTGAAAAGAAGATGGCCCCGTGATCTCCTAATGTGGAGATATCATTAGAGTGCTACCATTGGGTAGTTACTCAGCAAGTGTTTTCACATCATTATATCCATATGTTCAAATTTACTAAATGTATTTATTTAATACAGTTGTAAATATCATTAAGAAATAATAAACTTAACAGAGCAGCACGTCTTCCCATACTGTTTCAGTTATCAATATTTGCTTCTGTTATAACTTATATTTTTGATCAATACAATGTTGGTAGATGACTTTTACGTACAATACTTTCTTATTCCAAAAAATAGTAAAGGCGTACATAGTTAAACATCAGAGATGGCCAAATGCAACTCAGAGTACCGAGTAGCAAGTATTTTACTCAAATCGGGAATTCATTCACTACTGCAATTAATCGTTTGACATCAACTGAAGTAGCAATTTAATTCTTTGGTACTCAAAAATGGCACCAGTATTTGAGTAGAATACTTGGTACTCAGTATTCAGAGCAGCATTGCCCATCTCTGTACCCATACAGTTTTGATGACAACTTAGTTTTTTTTTTTTTTTTAATAGCAACTTTACACCGGGTTTTAATGGCCCGTTGGGAATAACGCTGCGTGAAGACTACACGTGAACCAGAGGAAGCGGCACTTAAGTGCGAATGTACCGTACGCATCCTCCGGCGTTACACATGGCCACCTCTTGGAACAAGTTCATGGTCTTCTCCTTCTGCATGCCCTTCTATACACATCTTCGATGTTATAACTCGAGAAAAAAATCTGGCACGGTGTGCGCATCACACAACTTTCATTTACAACTTACCTTGAGTAGTAATAGATACTTTCATATTCAGGAAAGTGGAAGTAAAAATTACAGGAGTTATAACATATCAATTTAAAATAATTAATTACCATACAAAAAAATATGGCCGAGTTCAAAATAATAGAGAAAATAAACGAATAAAAATAAACGCTTGTTGACTAGACAAATTAAAAAAAAAAAAACGCTTCAAATTATTTCACAATGGTTTATTATTTCCAAACAATTATGCATCTAAGGTAACATTACCTTCCTAGTGACAAAGAAAAAATAATAAAAGGTGATCCCAATTATGGGACTAAAAAAATTAATATTACTTCAGGAACACATTCAAAAATCAAAAACCAAAACATAGGATATAACCTTTGCATATAAAAAACATCTAGAGACAATATCTTTGCTCCTAATTGTCCGGATTTTAACAATTTTTATTTTGTTTGTTAGACAATTCCGTAAACTAATATTCCGTTCCCATACCGTACGGTGATCAAACAAAGGTGCACCATACAACAGAGCCGGCAGCATTATACTTGTATGGATGAGGAGCTTTAGGCTTAAAGATAGGTTTGTCATCCTAATTAAATTTTGGAGTCTTAAATCTTTTTGTTCGTACGTATTTTCGTTTTTAGGTTAGGCTGTGTACTTGATTTTTTGGGACTCACGAAACACCACAATGTGTATCTCCATTGAAAAAAAAAAAAAAAAAAAACTGGTCCACTACAAGCCATGATGGGTTCAGTACTTAGTAAATATTTTTATTTAATGGTTGTTCAAGGATCTGATTTGAACTAGATAAGGCTCGACCGCCAAGTTTTACTTAACTAATTATTTAATTAAGAGTACCTACTCTATAGAGGTTGGGTTTGCCTCAGGAGAATCTTCCGAACCCAAGATCAAACCATTAGCCACATTCGAACCTGAGACCATGAGCTTTAGAAGGCAGTGTCCTACCCACTGAGCTACCCTTATTTTCATAAAAAAAGGATTAGAAATTGTTCACGATCGCAATACTTTTCTTTATTATATATTCCATATATTGGTAAGCTGAAAAAAATAGAAATTTCAAGGCGAAGTTTATATCCACCATATTTAGAGCTGGCTCAAGGCCGCATCCATCCAAACCCGAGGAAGATATTAGCATAACGAGGGGAAAATAAAAAAGTTTTGAAACAAAATGCCTTACTCAGTATTCCGTCGAGCCATTTCTCAAAACGGATAAGTAAAAGGGTCGGATCTAAAAGTTTACAAGTCGCAAAACTTTCAGACCCGAGTTCTTTCGAAAGATTCCCTCACGAAATTACAGAGCTCCACACAAAGACCCTTCACTTCATCAGAAGGCTCAAGTAATCTTTTTCGATTCGTAGTTACAATTATGGTACTGTTCTTCTAAACCCATTCTTTTTCTTATCTTTCTCCATTAATCCATTTAAAATGTCGAATTCTTTCTGTGTATTCTCATTTTTTATTGCCTTAATTTAAATATTCAAATGCTGACCTTTAAAGGTATAAGTTCCATTGATATTATAATTATAATGAGCCAGTTTTTTTCCAAATCTTCTAAACTAGAACTGAGACAGAAACTAAATACATTCCTATACTTACTGAAAAGACCCACTTACACAAACTTCAAACTTTCCAATAAAAAATATTACGATTTATAACAAAAGCACCTTGGTACGTGACAAACAAAACCTTACATACGGACTTCCTTCTGCCTACAGTCAACCAACACATAACAACTCTTTACAAATGATTTCACAATAATTTACGCGGTCATATTAACATACTAATTAGATATATGACATCAGCTGACAAGCCCATCAATACGAGGTGAAGATTAAAAAGGCACTGCATGAGAGACCTCCCGACATGTCAATTTCGTTGCTTTAATCAAACCATCTGCTGATTGTTAACAGTCGTCGACAGATGAAGATTAATAATGAAAGATAAAAAAAAAATAAATAAATATATTTTTAGCTAATCTAACATCACCTGGTTTGAAAGTTCATTCAGAAAGTAATTAAAAAAAATCAACGAAAAAAACTTGAAACGTTTGAAAAAACTTTGAAATTTTTATTATCAATAGTTTTCAATTATTTTGGAACAAGACTTTTCCCCTAGCAATGTTTCAACGAAACGTTTAACAAAACCTTTATTTTTTAAAATATAATATTTAAAAATTCTGTCAATTTCGCTAAAAAATCGATATAAAAAATTACTGTTATTCATAGTTACTCAATCAAATGACATAGTAAAATCATGTATAATTAATTTAAGACAAATTAGAATTCTAATCTAAGCCCAATTATTGTATAATTTTCATTGAACGCAACTTTTTTTTAAGAACTTAAGCAAATAAAACCTAAACTTTAATCATAAATCTTTATTACAAAAAAGTACCTTAGGACATTTATTTTAAGAACTTTTTTCATAAAAAGATTTCACAGAAACTGTTAAAATTGAACTTTTTCCTAAAAGTTTTCACAAAAACTTTTTAAATAAGTGTCAAATCTAGCAAAAAATTGTTATTCACAAAAATTCAAAACCCCTCCAAAATGCACCACCTTTCTCTTTATTTTTCACTATTTTTATTTTGTATTCACCATAGAATTTTAACGCCATATAATTAAACTTCCTTTTAATGCTAATTCTAAAAATCCATAATTGATTCAAACAGATCCCAAAACAAAATGTTAATTATAGAAGAAAAAAAACCATTAAATTAAATAAAATGTTTACTATGCTCATATATATTGATGATACTTTATATATGTTTATTTTTTATTTTTTATATTAAGAATGGTCCATTGTATTGATTGATAGGTATACTGTGTCTGTAGCAACCCAATATAATTGGACAGCACCCTTTTATGAAAATAAAGTAATTATCTCTCTTTGTTTAAGTTTTTAACTGTTCTTAGTTTCTTGAAACTTCGGTTTTTTGTGGGGGAAGAGGGAGAGGGGAGAGACCCAGAAATGTCGACAATGGTACTCCCATTAATCTTGCTCCACACCTGGTTATATTTTAAATACATTAATTTCCTTCAACCTTATTCTAAGAAATGAAATATTAATTCATTGTAATGAACTGTTGAAATAGTAATTATTAAATACACTTTTTAACATACTAATTCCACCGTCACGAGTGTTGTTGCAGTGATGGTAGCGATAGACTGTGTCAAATCTGTCTGCTGACGCCGAGTCATGAAATGGCCATACACATGTCGGGTTTACGAGCGGGCTGGAGTCAAAACAACAACCGCGTAGCCACTTCTCTAAACCATTAATGCTGACCAATTTACCTTTTATCTTTAATGTAATTTCAAACTCATAGTTCGGTAGGTGATAAAGTAATAAATATATGGATTAATGTTGCGTGGTCAGCGTCTGATTCCTGAAAACCATGTATCATTTTCCTTCCTTATTCATCTCTACTTCACCTCAATAATTGCTCCATCCATTTTGGTTTATTATTTTCGATAATCAACCATTTTGATCGACCAAAAAATTCAAAAACTTAACCCTCTTTCGAAATTTGAGGTTTCACGTTTCAGTGCGAAACGTGAAACCTCACGTTTCACATGTGTAGAATTCGAAAAACGAATAAAAATTTTTTTGTCCGTTCACCGTCCGCGCATTTTCTCCGAAACTACTGGAACGATTTTTTTCTAATTTGGCCGAAGCGGCCGAAAAATCTGCGTTACTATAGACTGTAGCGCCTAAGCGATGAATCTTCACTAAAGTAATTTTCTCTACGCCTTATAAAGTTTTTTTTAAAAGTTTACGAAATTTCCTAAAAATCAAAAAAAAAAAAAAATCGTTAAAATCGGACAATTAGGAGCAAAGATATGGTTATATATTTTTTTTGGTTTTTAAATTGTGAATGTGTTACTGAAGTAATGCTATTTTTTTTTCTTTTTTTTTAGCATATTACTAACGATTAAAAAAAAAAAGTTTAGTCCAATAATTGGAATCATCTTTTATTTTTTTTCTTGTAACTAGGAAGGTAATGTTACTTTAGTTGTATAATTGTTCGGAAATAATAAACCATTATGAAATAATTTGCAGCGTTTTTTCCTTACAGTAAAAAACCTAGGAATAACCTTTCACCAGAATCTCTCCTCCATATCTTCCAGATTACTCGAAAATCCATAAGTGTCCTTAAATTAGATTCCGTGATTGTATTCCTCTAAAGACCAGACAGCTCCTTGTAACTTCCCTTATATTCCCCCACTTCGACTATGGCTGCTTGGTGTATGGAAGGCTATCTGCTAAGCTAAAAATGAGATTAAAGAAACTCATGAACTTTTTTTTTCCGTTCTTCCCTACCTCGCCTTCAAGGCTATGCGGGATTTTCCCGAGTAGAAGGGTGAGGGCGGGGAAATTCTCTCCGGCACCCTCGTACTTTTTAATGTCTCATATTTTGAATCCTTATGTGTTCCCATGTTTCATTCTGGTACACCGAGTTGAAGCGGCTTTATCCTACTTTCCTCGACAATTTCTCTTAGCTATTTTCCTTTTCCAAGTCCTCAGAATGAAAAGCCCTCCTTACATCATGGAACTCCTTACTCTACGTTTCTCTATCCACTATCTCAATACCAAGTCTCAACCTATAGATTTATATATTCCCTCCGTAAAACCCATCTGTCCACGCTTGTCGGATTGAACAGCCCTGATGAAGGCTTGAACTTCGGCCAAAACGTCGGCAAATGTAAAAATAAATGTTATTATTTATTTTTGCTATTTTTATTTTGGCTGATCATCCCAACCATCCTTCCCTTCAATTAAAAATATAATGAATAGAAAAGTTGGCTTAAATTGTCTATTCATTATGTTTTTACCAGCAATAATTTTGAA